TCACCCTACTGGGTGACATCTTGAGCGCATACTTCAATTCGTTGAAGCGAGCTTTTAGATTTCTCCACGAGTTTATCAATCATTTCTCCTGGTGACCTTGGACGTGATTGGTGGTTTTTGTGTCTTTTCACACCCTCCAGGCTGCTTGTATTGGAACTGATTGTTTCTTTGACTTGAACTTTGACCCTCTGTGTGTGTGAGATTTTCTTCTTATCGGTTGATAAATTTTGTTTGTCTCTATGTGTCTACTGATTGATGATTCACTGGAATACCAGGCAGCCTTCTAAAAATTCCCTAGCATTCTTGTTGTTTCCTCTGTCTAATATTTGAACGCTGGTTGTCCCAGTCGAATTAATGTCCGTGGTTGTCTGTATGTAGTGATATGAGGGAGTGGATATCATGTCTTTTGACGGCTAGGTTATGTTCGTGGATACGAAGACGAAGGGGAGGGACGTCCACTTTGACCAATGTAGTGTTTTTCGTAGTTGACACAATTTTCTTTTGTAGATGATGTTGGTTTTATCTTCTTTCGCTGCTGAGTCTTTTGGTTGACATAGAATTGAGTGAAGCGACTTTGTTGGTTTGTGTACGACGTCAATTCCTAAAGGTTTGAATAGTCTTGTTGTGATTTCTGAGATATCCTTTATATATGGTAAGGCGATTTTCTTTGTGCTTTCCTTGGGGGCTTTTGGTTTGATAGGTTGGCTTGGGGTTATATGTCTTTTGATGAAATTCCGTGGATATCCATTCTTTTGGAAGATGTCCATGAGATATTTTTCTTCAATTTTCCTTAATGTGGGAGTGCTGCAATGAGTCCTTGCCCTCTTGAATAGTGTTTTTGTATGCAATTCTTTTTGTGTGTTACTGGGTTGTTGTTGTTGTAATTTAGGATTTGGTCTGTGTGAGTTGATTTCCTATAAACTTTAGTTTCTTATTCGCCTGAATTCCCGAAACTAATATAAGTAACTCCAACGTTTCATTCAAAAAATCTGATCCTAACTTCTGCAGGGATATTAATAAATATTAAAATTTTCAAAAGAATAGGTACTTAACAAAGAATAAATACTCTTTTCGATAACTTCACCATCAGGCTATACACTTGTAAATCCATCTATTATAGTGAATGAATGAATTAGTGCTATGAACAACATTAATGTTGTTTAAATAACATCGAATCAATAATACTGATAGATTAGAGTTTAATAGCATCAACATAAAATAAGCTGAATGTCAGAAAAAATAAGGAAAGATAATATTTCAAATTCATGAATTTTTAGTCTCTACTGAAGGCTGCCTAGGACAATAGTAGTAGCTGTACTTGCTTCTTCTGCACACAGAGCACTAGTTGTTTGAGGCGAATTGCACTAACCTCTGCTGTTTGGAGCATGCGGTACTTCGATGATTTTGACAATTTATTAGGCACCCGGTAGATGATACAGAAGGATTCTTCAACGCTGGCTTTGTGGCCGGTTTGGACCAGATGGGCCAATATCGAACTGTTAATAGTTTTTACTACACCCTTACTTAACCATAATGGGATATGTTCTCGAGCACGAAAATTCAAGTTCCTAAAGAAACCGCCGATATTACTCGCTCCACTATCAGCGCAGTTGAATTGGTAGATAAAATTTGAAGTGGCTAGTCTAATCTAGGTACTTCATCTTTCAGTCGAGGAATCACCATCGGTCGTGTCGAGAATAAAACGTGTAGCTCACCAGCATTAAAACTTCTTTGAACTGATATTCTTAATTTCTTTGTAGTTATCTCACTTGGTATATCGCCCTTGAACTGCCTCACACAACCAGTGCTCTGCGTTCAAAAGAAGCAAGTCCAGCCAGTCACTACTACTGCCCTGCCCGGCCTTCAGTAGAGACTATAAACTCATGGATTTGTAATATTATCCTTCCTAAGTTTTATGACATTCAGCTTATTTTATGTTGATGCTATTGAACTATGATCTGTTGGTATTATTGATTGGATTTCATATAAATATTAATGTTGTTCATAACACTAATTCATTCATTCACTGTAATGTGTATATATAACTGTGTAGCCTGATGATGAAGTTATCAAGAAGAGTACTCTTTGTTCAGTATCCATTCTTTTTGAAAATTTTAATGGGCATTTTAATTAATTCAAATATTAAAATGTAATATAACAGTAATCCTACTAAATCATCTCCAGTTTACTTTGCAATATGAGCTTTGATGAATATTATTGACTTAGGAATAACGTTAACAGATTGGCATTTACCACTCTCAGATCATATGCTTGTTGAATTCGATTCTTGTTTGCTGTCAAAATTGTATACGTGGAAATGTTTGTCGAGTATTCAACTGACTAGTCCTACTAAAGTTTGTGAATTCATTAAATACTGCCGTTTTTCCACAGTTGTTAGTTCTTTTAAATTTTGAAGTATTGGCTTTGCAGGGATTTCGTTTGATTGCATGGAGAATTTCATCACGAGCTGACATCAGTTAGAGAACCATTGGAAAACCTGGGAGTATTGGACAGCTATTTTGTCAGCCTAGTTGGAGATTCTTCATTAGCACGCATCCACCACCACAGTTTGAACCCAGGAACTTCCGGTTACAAGGCGAGCTAGATCGTATACCAATGAGCCTAAGGGACCCGATCCAATAGCCAGCCCATGAATTCTAACGTCTGCCAATTCCGCGACCATTTCGCAATGTCTTCTTCCACCGCATCTTCAACCTCCTACATCCTACTGGTCACGGCTTCCCACTAAAACTCCAGATCTTTTAAATTTACTACAGGAAAGGAATTTTTTCAATACCATGTATATTTTAGGCTGTCTTAATAAAGTCGAAGAGAACCTTGGAAATAAAGTGTGCACATTTCTGCTGCGAATTTTCTTCCTCTTGCTTCTGCAAATATTACTGAGAACCCATATCTGGCTAATTATACTGCCTCAGTTGAAGACACTTTGGAAGAATTTTCTATAGTTTGGTTTGTAAGGGTTAGTTGTATTTTCACGAGTTGATCACTGATTGATGTCAGTTAGAGAACCATTGAAAACCAGGGAGTACTGGACAGCGCCGTATGACGAATTGGTAAGAGTTAGAATTCATGAGCCATTGATTCGGGTCTCAGTAGCTGAATGGTATACGAGCTTGCCTTGTAACCGGAAGGTCCTGGGTTCGAATCCCTCTGTGGGATGGGTGCGCAGTGCCGGTGGTTCCCAAACTAGGATGGAACAGCAGCTCTCCAATACTCCCTGGTTTTGGGAGAATTCCTGAATTTGTGTTTTGTGATCATTTGCAAGCAGCAAAAATTTCTATCGTTAAACGAGAGAGAGATTTGAATCCAAATTAATAAAACCAAGTATTTTAATCAAAGATGTTACTGGTGTGATGAGTCTGACAGGCGGACAGGTGCCAACAGACATGAAACTAAGGGTTCGTATCAAGAATTTTGAAGCGGCTATTTTTCTGTCATTTCTTTTATACGAGTAAGTAACTTTGAACGTTACAAAACGAATTTCTAAAAGTCTGCAGACCTTCATCAACACATGCCCTCGTTCAATAGTGAAGATAAAATGGCCAGGAAGAATTAGTGAAAAGAAATACTAAGAACAAACCAATCTAGAACCCATTACACAACCGACAAGTAGTCCTAAGGAAACTGAGATAGACAGGACACTCTCTGAGGAAACCGTTGAGTGACATCGCTTGCTAGGCCACAGCTCGAGTGGGGCTCGAATAGGAAACGGTGAGTTTGACAACTGAGGGAGATTAAATGAGGAGGAAATGGAATCTTATGGGTAGTCCTAGAGTCAGTCAAGGAGAACTACAGAAAGTAGGACAAAATGGAGACGTGATGTTGAAGCCCTATGTTCCACTTGGAATTCAAGGGAATAATAATGTAACAATATTTTCAAAGGTTACTTTGCAGGAATTAAATTTGTTTCAAGTTCTCCCATGGATTGATATCAGCTAGGGGACCACTGGACACCAGGAAGTGCTGGATAGATGTCTCATCGTACTCAGGGACTCATCCGCCGCCAGTGTTCCAACCCAGAATCTTCTGGCTACAGGTCAAGCTCCTAAACCATTAAACAACTAGGATCCGACCCAGTGACTCATGAAGTTGCCTTGAGTTCCCCTGAGAATTCGTGTCCAGTGGAGGTCCATCCACCTGGTAGTGAAGAAGAATACTCGCCGATGACACCAGCTTGTAATCGCTCTAAAATCATGAATCGGTAGAAGTCAGGGTTAATGGGCTGGTTACTGAGTTAGCTCCCACTGGCTGAATGGACTACGACCTTGCCATGTAATCAGAAGGTCCTGAGTTCGAACCCCAATGTGTAGGTTCAGCCAATGAGTCCCATACTAGGACAAAACAGCTGCCTAATACTCTCTAATTGATGCCAATCCGTAGTTTAACTTAAAATACTATAGTATTTTCTGTGGGTTTTGTTTAACTTTGGGGAAATTTCGGTGATGTGGGTCTAGAAAAGCAATTATTATTTTTTGAATATAACAAGATTTCTTAGCCCACCCATTACTTCTGACATCCCTTTTACTGACACCTGTACAGGAAGTTTACAATATACTAAACAACTGTAATTTCATGAATTTAAGATATCATTCTAAAATCTCAATTGTAAACAGAAGTTCATACTTTTTTTTCTTTCTCTCCATATAGGCATTTTAGCAGACATTAGATTCGTTTATTCACTTTTTCTTTGTCCAGCAAAGAAGATCAATAGCCTCTTTGTGTTATTATCACATGACTCTTCTCTGATTGGCTAGTTAAGTATGTCTATCCAACAAATCTGTACAGAATTGCCCTATTAGGCTATCATCAATGGTGCAGATAACAAGCAGGGGGTGGGGGAAGATTGTATTCCTAATATAAAGAAAACACGTAATATCCCAAACTAATAATCGATGAGATCAGTAGCATATAAATACACCAACCATTTGATCGCTTCTGATTTCATAATTTTTCTGTTTTAAGATCATTTCTTAGGACAAATGCATAGTTGTTTAACACTTGTGGATTATACATGGAAAGACAGCGAAGAAAGTGGTACATCTTCACCAAGATATCCAAATTATGATCATATATATCGTCTTCGACGTACAGCTAGATCATTAGATGGTGGAGATACAGTCAATTGTTTATTGAATAATCAAGATGATCATATAACTTCATCAAGTGAATCTAGTAGACAATATCAAAGATATCTGAATGATCGATTAAATCATTCAATTGGAAAGATTACAAAACAAAATCAACATCGTCATCATAGTTCTATGCTGTTGCTGAATACACGTAGACTACCAATCTATGCTACATCGAAACGTTTAAGTAAAGGACCAGATCGTGTATGGGTACCAGTTGGACATTGTAGATATCTACTAGAACGTGATTTACATACTGGTGAAATTAAATGGAGTCCTGAAGGGAATGAAATTCTCTGTACACCAAGGTAAGTGAAAAAAGTTAATTAAATGAAATGAAATGATATTGATCTGAATAGGGGCGGTAAACACCTTGGTATTATTTGTTATTGCAGGCAACTGATCACCCAAACTTTGAATAAAACTGTGTGTACCGAATGAGATGAGATGATTTCTATTGAATCAATTGATTATTTCCAAATGTTTTCCTTTAATAAATTGTCCTATAATGTTCTCGTGCGTCGGTGACATAGCGGTTAGGACGCTCGCCGACCATGCACATAGTCCGGGTTTCGATCCTCGGCCGACGCACTCCTTCACCTCGCTAAGCAAGAAATAATGCTGGTAAAGAGGAAAGGTTGTGCATGAGGCTAGGAGCCCCATTCTGTAAAAATAAACACTGCTGCGGAAACTTCAAGTCATTAACTTGAAGCCCTACGTTCCACTGGGAACTTAAAGGAAAAAAATAATAGAAAAAATAATGTTCTCAGTATGATTATAGTAAGCAAGGAGTGGAGTGTCACTTAAAATGTACATCTTAATTCCAGTTGCGAGGTAATGGACAACTGAAAGCTCACAGAAGTTTTTGAAGGGAAGATAGGAGTAATATAAGGCTGCCTACTATCACCGATGATATTCCTCACTGTGGTGGTCTAGATTATGCGTCACACCATGCGTGGGGAGTGAAAAGATAGGCATACGTTGGACCGACAAGAAGAAGATTCAGGACATCGCGGGTGCTTTATGTCCAGGATCTCACGAAGATCAGTATCCAAAAAAGTAAAAAAGAATAGCAGAAGATGTAGAGATGACCAGAAGGAATTCAGGCGAAGATACAGAAGACAGAAGTGACGAAGATACCTAACTAGTTATAACAAGTAACAATCACCATCAATGGAGGAAATCTAAAAGAAGTCGCCTCTTTGAATTAATCAATATATTCGCGGCTTTGTTTTAACTACAGGTGGTGGCAGGAATGATGACGTCAAAGCTAGTCAGAATCGAGGACTGCGAGACAAAGCCTCACTACTCTGAAAAGTTGGAATTGTGTCTGAGGGCTAGCTAAAAAGAGACTACAGAGAACATAGTGAGATTAAGTTGTGTTACTGAAGCCTTATATTCCACACGAAACCCAAAAAGACAACAGTAACAATAATTTACTTAGGAAACTTTCTCACCTGTGTTGCAACACTACATGTCATTCTATTTCGAACCTTCTCCATATGGTCTAATCCCAACTGCATTCAAATTGTAACTTAAAGCAAGGATGAAAACTAATTGCAGTAAAATCTAAGTTTGTCACTTCTAACTGACTAACATCCAGGAGAGCGTAGTTATTGTTCAAAGTGATTCACTTAACAGATATCCCTTTTCTATAGCATCTTAGTTTTCAATACTTGTTCCCAGTAATTTCATATTAATCTGTTAAGTGGATATTGAATGACTCCATTTCAAACATAATTTATTGTTCATTGTCATATCAATTATATACAACTACACAACTTAGAGACTTCATTCTTATAGTTCGCCTCCTTACTTTCCATTTTTCATAAAGGCAGTAGAATTTTCCAAATGTCGGGTGGAGGCACTGAATTATTTCTGTTGCACTTACTTTAAGTTGATTCGATAAACGGGGCTTTCGTCATCGATCTCTCCTTCCACCCTTTAAACATTACATTTTAAGACTGTTATCTTATCCAATAGGTTTCTGTGTTCCTCCAGTCTGACAGACTCTGTCCCACCACTCTGATCTGTGTATTTCACTTAATAACCATTAGGGAAGATTAGATAAATTATTTTGTTTAGTGGCATCCACAGGATTATTTAATTGAAATAATTTATTTCTAAGTATGTCTGTGGGCTGGAATGTCACTTTTAACAGCACATTGTTATGAATTTTACATGGGGTTTCAGAAGTTCCTTTCTCGTATAAAAGAACTACTAATGTTATAAATTTCCTATCAATGTTACTGTCAACTTTCTGTGTATACTTTCAGGTAAGTTGTCCTTATTACTATGACTATTTATTATCATCATCCTCATCATCGATGTTGTCAGTTTTCTTTTAACAATTTTCTACATACTTCCTGACTAATTTATGAGGGTAATTATCAAGTTCCAAAGCTTTTCCTGTATATCTTCCTTCCTGCTTTAAATTTTCACTAGCACTATTTAGTCCTTATTTTACCCTGCTACTTGAATATTCAAGCCCACAAATTCAGCAAGAGACAAATTTTGTCAATTAAATGATCAAGTAGAGACCATTGAACAAAACACTATAGTTTATCTTATATCCTGAAATGATTGTCACGTCGAACACTTAGGTCAGAGTAGTAGAACAGGATCAATCAGAGTAATGGAGCACAAATACCTTGCAAGATATAGAAGTCATGAACAGTGAGATCCCCCTTGTTAAGATGAAGTGGACTGGTGAGAGCAGTGCTATATCATGAGCTGACAAAGTTAGAATTTAGGGGTCATTAAAATTAAATCCGATTGTCTCAGTGGTCAACAAGTTTGATGTCGTAAACTGGACGCCATGGCTTTGATCCCTGGTAAAATTGTGGATGTGCACCACCGAGGAGACCTAAAATAGGACGAAACAGTTGCCCAATGCTCTCTGATTTTCAACCATTTCTATAAATGATATTTCTCAGTAATCTCGTCGACCATGAACATGTTCCGGGGTTCGATCCCCTGCAGACGTACACCCGATATCCATGGTTAGCGTGCAAAATTTGGGCTACCTATATCACATACTGAAAATTCCATACTTGTTCCGAAAATACGGTGTGAAATCAGGCTATAATAAAAAAACATAGACTGGTTGACCCTATAAGAGATAAGAAATCTGGAGAATAGTTCAGCTTTAACACTACATGCAGTTTCAAACAACCATACAACAGGATGGGATAAGATGATAGTCTTAAAATGTAATGTTTAAAGGGTGGAAGGAGAGATTGAGGACGGAAACCCCGTCTATTGAATCAACTGAAAATACGGGCAACAGAAATGATTCAGTGCCTCTATCCGACATCTGGGAAATTCTACTATGTTTATGACAAATGGGAAGTAAGGAGGCGAACTATAAGAATGAAGTCTATAAGTTGTGTAGTTTATATATAATTGATATGACAATGAACAATAAATGTAGTCATTCAATAAATAATACTGTTCTACACTTTGTGACGTATATCTAATAAACAAAATAATATGGAATAACATACAACAACAATTGGCGAGTTTTATTCATAGATTAATTATTCTCAGTAACTTTATCTTGTTTATAAATTCTATTTTTAAGATTCAAGATTATGACGACTAGGTTCTTTCAAATTTGTTTCTACTTTTCGCTTGAATTCACAAAACACGTATCGTCCTTTCTAGATCTCATCAACTACATATACTTACACCTCTTTGAGTCATCCCAATAATGCCTATTGAAACATGCCACCTGTATTATACTACTAGTCTGGATCAAACACAAGTAATGTCATACTAGAAGACAATGGAGATTAACTTGAATGCTGAGAACGTCAAGTATAAAATCTTCCTTCTCATCATTAGTACTTTAATTAATGTCATAAGGTATCTGCTGTTAAGAATCGATGTATATAAACTGTCAGGATATTTAGTTCACAGAATAACTTAAAGATATATTTGGGTATGTGTTGACCAAAAAGTTGATACACAAAAAGTTCTGAAATCGACTCCTTGTAGTGCTACCCTTCTGAAACATAGTAAAAATTATGATTCTCAAGATCTAGTTTGCAGGAACTTGACTGATTTCAAATTTAGTGATGAAATGAGTTCATTTTGAGAACCACTGAAAACCACAGAGTACTTAACAGATGTTTCGTTTTACTTTGAGGCTTTTCAGCTGTATGCATCGATCACTCAACTGACAGGGATCGGACCCAGGACCTGCAGGTTACAAAGCAAGTTCGTTGATTATTCGCCCACTGGAGTTGAATCCAGTCCAATCCAATCCAACCAATTCTAACTTCCGACCAATCGTGATATTGAATGCGACCGCCACCTAATATTATCAGTGAATAATTGTTATGACTTCCCATTATAACTTCAGGCTACTTTTTCTTGTAATCAGTCACTATTAACCACTAGAATAATCGTTAAGTGTTGGTTTGCAGGAAAATTTACTGACTTCAAGAATAATCATGAACCGTGTAACTTGAAGCTTCTGAGTTCAAACCCTGGTGGGATCATGGGTGCTTGTTGCTGGGGTACATCAAATAAGGACAACAGAAGTAGCAATACTCCAATACTTACTGGCTATTCTACGCTTCTCTAACTGAAATTATTTCGTGATCAATCTTGAAAAATAATAACATTTAATCGAAAATTGGAATGAAGAAAGTGATAAAGGAAATTATTACCCATTTTATTGTTCTCTTGGGTTCGGAATGGAACATATGATGTCAACAGCAAAACTTCACTTTGTCCTATTCTTTGTAATCCTCTTTACCTGGCCTCATGACTGCTCATGGTCCTTCATCTCCTCCTCACACAAACTCCTCCATGTCACCCTTGGACACACTCCCAACTCGTTGTTTTCCCATTCGGGTTCCCCTCGAGTTGTGTCCTGGCGCGCGTGTGTTTGATCCATACTCATTTTCTCCTACATAATTGTCGACTAATAGGTTCTTGGTTGGTTTGTTTCCAGAGTTTCTAGTTACTGATTCTTTCTGGTCATCTGATCCTCAGTATGGAATGAAGGCAGCTGGGGATAAAAGTCTGCAGTGACCTACTGGAAATGATTTTCGTGATGCTTCAAGTTTTAAACGCATACTGAAGGATTGACAACCCTGAAGCTTAAAGGCTGACGTCTATAGTTTATGCTGCAGAGTGAAGGAGATTTTCAAATTGATTTTAGGTGGATGAAGACGTATCTTTCTTTTCCGATTCTTGTTTTAACATCTTGGTCGGTGCTGTCACCTGCAGCTGAAAAGACGCCACTTAGGTAACTGAAGGAACTTATCTATCTCGCTAATAGCCATCAGTGATTGTTACTGTGGTTATAGGGTTCGCTTTCATCACCCCTGGTGCCTTCATGTTCACCTGAAGTCCTGTCTTTGCTGATTACCTCTACTGCCAGTTTATTGGTTTTCGCCTACAAGCCTTCGAATTGATGTGACATTAGACATAAATCGTTTCACATCTTCAGATTTCTTATTGGTCCAACTTATTTCTTTTGTCTTACTCCCCACAGTCGAAAACATAAACCAGTCCACCGTAATTCACAATATCATAGATGGTAATAGGCAAACTTGTCTTACCCCTGCATTCAATTCAAATGCCTCTGACATGTGGCACTGCCATATAGCTGTTGAATGAGGTTTATAAAGATTTGGGGCACTACATGCCATAGTGTTAAACTAGTTTCCAAATTGCTTCTCAGTCAACTCTGTCGAAAACCTTTACGAAGTTAATGAAATTAAGGTAGGGTTTTGACTGCCATTCTTTACTTTGTCCTATGATGACGATGCGTAGAGGCTCAATCTGATCCGGTGAGTAGAGTTGTGTATGCAGTGCATCTTTTATTCTTTCCGAGAAAATGCGACTAAATATTTTACTTGGCATGGACAACAGCATTATCCTACGACAGTACTTGCAGAGGCCTAAATAGGTCACCCTTCTTGGCAGCTTGACAAAGTAGCGTTTCTTCTAATCGGTGGGCACCTCTCCTTCTTTAAAAACGTTTTGCAGCAATGGCGTGAGCACACCCACCCCAGTCTTTGGGTTCGTTTTCAGTGCTTTTTTAGGAACTCCGTCTGGTCCTGCTGCCTTCTTCATTGGCCTTCAGTAGCTTAATAGCATTCAAGGTTTTTCTGTTCTGCTTTTGTTGGAGGGTTGGTGTCCACTGGCAGGCAGTTCTGTGAGTGCTATTAGTGGCGGTGTATTTCTGGGAGAGTCGTAAGTGATGGTCGATTCAAGAGTCCTTTGAAGTGATCAACCCAGTGTGCTATTTGTACCTCCCTCTTTGGTAATCAGGTACTCTTGACCATCTTTTATAGGTTTCATCTGCTTCTATCTCCTCCCAGATAGAGACCTGGTTGTATGGCATAAAGTTCCGAGGCCTCTTTTATCTTAGTCTGTTCTGCTTCAATTGACAGTATGTCTTTCCTAGCACTCTTCTTCACTCCTTTGTTCAGTGCGATATACACCTAGCTCGACTTCTCCTTCTAGCATCAATCTTTGCATTGGTCCATCTTCTGTTTCACCACTGCCCTCTCTTCGATCAGCTTCCGAGCGTCTTTTGAGAGACATTCCTTTTGGTGCCTCTTCTTTCTTTCTAGAGTGGTTGTACACCTTCCTTTAAATGCCATGTTTCTTTAAATGTTTACAGATGTTAGCTATCAAAATTTTAAATGGCTAGTTTTATAATATTATTGATCAAGTTAGTGAACTTCATTTTAGGATCTGAGCCACTTGCACTCAAATCTCGATATTATCCCAAGTTTCAAGCTGACAAACAGTGAAGCTTTATAGCTCACAATTGCTTAATACATATCTTTTTTGAGGTCTTTCAGTGAAAATTTGTATTTCGGTGGAAACTATAGTTTATTGGATTCTAACTGACTAAATTTATAGCTTGAATCTTTGTAAGCTTGTAGATATGTCCTACTTGCGTCTCAACAGTTTTTCATTGCATATGGACTCATAACACCTAACTCCTCACGAATTTAAAGTCATTATAACTCGTCCCTTGGTTTCCCTAATGAAACACAGAACTTCAGAAAGACAGTGCCATTCCACTCTGTTCTCTTAAGTTCTCCTTGACTGTGTCTACAACAACCGATAAGAGTGCATTTCCTCTTCACATGACCTCCTCCATTTTACCATAGAATCTACTCATAACTCTTCTTTCCCAAATTTATGGTTCTACTTGAGGACATAACTGACGTATGATTTCATTTGAAGGTCTGTCTCAATGTATGTTCAGTGTACCTCCATTTCTTCCCGCATATTTATTAGGTAATAGATTATTAGTTACAGGATTTCATCATGAGCTAACATCAGTTAGAGAACCACTGGAAAACCAACCGAGAGTACTGTACGGCTGTTTTCTCAGCCTAGTGTGGCACTCTTCATCAGTACACACCGGCGGGGTTTGAATCCAGGACCTTCTATTTACAAAGCGAGCTAGCTCGTAGACCACTGAGCCACTGAGGTGGGATCCAATGGCCAGTTCATGAATTCTAATTTCTGCCAATTCACGACATAGCACAACCGCTAGCCAATGTCTTTAGCTAGTATTTGTCCTCACACCCGACCTGCTGCATCCTACTGGTCACAACTTTCCACTGGAACCTCAAGTAGCTACCTACCTGAATAGGGCCAGTCGCTAGTGAGCATCTCATTCATATTCAGGTATTCGTTTGCTGGGATCTGGTTGATTCGTTACATGGTTCCATTATGAGCTGACACTGGTTGGAGAACAACTGGAAAAAGTGGGAGTACTGGATAGCCGTTTTGTCCCGGTGGGTGCGCACTGTGAAGAGAACCAAACTAGGATGAAACAGCTGTCCAGTACTCCCAGGTTTTCAAATGATTCTGTAAACACTGTCAACTCTTGATGGAACCCTGTAACCAGTCAACCGAATCCCTACAAACCAATATCTGCATAGATTATTAGTTGGTCCGCTGCACTTCAGGAGTCCTCTCCAGCCGGCAATCTGACGTCCAGTATTCAGCAAAGGCATATGTCGATGAATGTTCGAAATAACCTGTTTCCCGTGACCCAACACTAACCTAAAGTGAGTGCTAGAATTTCGGATTTTGTTTCTTATGCTGAGTTCAGTAGATTGTCGCACTGACTTTAAAGTAATTAAAGTCTGTCTTGCTTTTCTGATATGATCTTGGACTTGACACATTCATCTGCTCCACTACCCGTAATGTGAAAAACCTTTCCTGTCTAGGTAAGCAGAAAAAACGACTTTCTCTAGATTTCCTCAGCTGACTTTGGTTCGTGGTTGTTGTCTGTTTTGTTACTGCTTCGGTATCTTCATTACTTCTTTCTTCCTTGTGTTCGTCAGAAGTACTTAAGATTTTGACTGACTCTTCTACCCTTTCTTTGATCGCAACGTTATCAGAAAACAATAGTCTGTAACCGTGTGAAATTTTATCGAATAAATTTATCCTTTGATGAGATTATACTCTACCACAGTGCCTAAGGTCTATACTTATATCACTTCTGCCAACTTTGTAGGTTTTCACTTGTATATCAGTGGGTTTGTTCAACATTAAGCACTAAGCAAATCGTCTGTGTGGCTTCATACTCTATTCTACTCAGTACATACCCTGAAGTCATCCTTTTTTATTACTGTTCTATTTCTGCTTTACAAATCACTTACAATATCAATATTTTAGTTTAATTTAATGTTGTTTTACACTCTTTTTCATATTCAAAACAGGAGTTTAGCTGAAATCTGCATGGCACGCTTAATTCGTGATTGGCCGTGTATGCTACCCCCACGACGTTCATCCCTACGTAATATGGTCAGTTTTCTATTCAGCTCACGTGATATACAATCGAATTCTTCAAGAAACATACCATTAAATGAGCTAACAAATTCAGCTGGAACTGCTACCGCTAATAATACAGTCATTTCAAGAACCTCACCACCACCAACACCATCATCGTCATCGACATCATCAGGTGTAAGACGATCTGCAAGTTTATCATCAGGTCGTTATACGTATAAAAATGATAAATTTAAGTCTAAAGATGCAAAAATTGACGAAAAACACTGCCAAACAGATAACAATAAAGGAAATGCCGTGAAATTTATCGATACAACCCCTTTAACATGTCATGATCTACCTGTCACAGTGTTAATTAGCTTAATATCTGAAGCTATCCTACAAAGAGATTGTGCTGCAATCACTGGCCTGGTTGCTAATTGGCCTGCAGAAAGTCTTATCGTTAAACAATTAATCCCAGCTGAAGAATATCCGTTAATACCAAATTATATGACTAAGCCAACATTTGTACTTGTCAGTTCAGAGAATGAAATGCTTAGTCGTAATGCCCTGGTCAAAGGACCCAGTCTACTTGACGCTTTTATATTAGGCATGTTAACTAGACAACCTAAGTGTAAGCTGAAATCAATTGATTTTACTGGATTTGAAGAAGGTAAATTACTATTATTTTTATAACAATCGTTTTGTGTCATTAGGTTTTTTCTCATTATAGAAACAATCCCCATTTAGACGTTTAGAAAACAGAAAGATTAAGCGAAGAAATATTTACTTTTCAATTAGATCCTCATCTCTGGCTCTACTCTAATATATGCATAGCATTTTTATTGCAATACACAGCAATTCACGTTCGAAAAATAAGGATAAACTACCTAAATTTGTCTTCTCCACTATGTGTATCTACCAGTTTGATTGCAGCTGCGGAGCCAGCTACATCGGGCGTACAATTGGGCAGGTTCATCGTCGTATTTCCGAACTTCATCTAGCATGGTTAAGCAAGTAACAAACAAGATCTATTCGTAGCTCTATTGTAGCTCACCTTGTAGATAGTGAGCATAAGTTTGACGTTAATACGGCATTTAAAATTATTTGTCGCATTCCTACTAATCTTAATTTTGCTCTACGAGTTCGTCTCCTATATACAGCTGAAGCAATAGGAATCCACCTGTGGAAGAAGCGAAACCTGTGTGTTCAGAAGAAATTTGTACAGTCACTTTCCTTACCGTGGCCACCATTACATGAATGTATAAGCCGGAATACTTCGACCCCCTCCCCCTAAACCTTTAAAATTATAAAAATTATAATTGTCCAAATTATTTTACTATAGTTTGGTCTGTTAGGGTTAGTTATGTTTTTACGAGTTGATCAGTGGCTGAATGGTATACGAACTCGCCTTGTAGCCGGAAGGTCCTGGGTTCGAATCCCAGTGGGTGCGTACTGTCGATGATTCCCAAACTAGGATGAAACGGCAGTTGTTCAGTACTCCCTGGTTTTCAATGCTTCGCTAACTGATATCAATCCGTGATCAACTCGTATAAACAAATTATTTTAGTTTTATTTATTTTGACCACTTCATCTTGAATTAGGTGTTATCCTTGTTAACCTTATTTATTCTAACCATTTCTACCTTTTAAATGTGTATTGATTTTCTTCGTTAATTATCACCACATTGACATTTTGACATTGACTATTGTTAACAAACAAATCAGTGCCACTTGATTGGTAAACTGTTGTGTATTGTAATAAAAATGCTGTAAACAATATATTAGAGTATAGCCAGAGATGAGGATCTAATTGAAAAGTAAATGTTTCTACGCTCAATCTTTCTGTTTTCTATTTTTTTCGATGCCAAATGACAATGATGAATGTCTAGGCAACCTATTTTACGATTCCTTTATCTCCCGAATGGAACATTAGGCTTCTGACTCTAAGTTTCTAGGCTTCAGTAGAGTTGATCTTGTTTGTCTCTGCATGGTGAGTTTGCTGGACTCAGTACCAACCGTACCACCTTTTCTAGGTTTACTGCTGATTGCTAAATTGAGAGAAGTTTTAGGAGTGTTCACTGGTCGAGAATCAAATCCATTACATTTACACGTTTGATGAGCATTCTGCCTTTGAGCCATCATACATGCTCGTACAGCTCCAGGAGATAATGACCTCCAGACCAGATGGAAATCATTACCGTAGTTCAGATCAAACTTCTAATTCTATTTCACTGACTATTTGAATATGATGATATTTATTATAATCCCTGTGGGTTTCGAGTGAAAGATGCGGCTTTCACAGTAATTCATCGTTTCATCCTGTTCTCCACATTCCTGTATTGTTGACTCTCCGATTACCTTTAGGCTTTCACCTCATACTCACAGAATCTAATCACTGTCAATCTCGGACGCCCAAGTTGCGGTTGTCCGTTCTGGTTTCACTTGATGGGTTACCTGGCTCTTGATTTCAATCAACGGCCTTCTAAGCTCTAGTCCAAACCATCTTTATTTCCTTCTGCATATTTGTCAGATAGTAGATTCTACACTGGCTCGTTATCATAGTTCTTAGTTGTTTACCGATTCCGACGGTCCATATGGTCTTCAGCATGGAGCAGAGACAGCTGTTGGTATAAAATGCTTTTTATTTGCACCACATATGACTATTTAAATACACATAGGCAAAGGTATGTGCTGGTATGAGACTAAAATTCCTGCACTGTTGGTGAAGAAGCTACAGTTTAGATAACGAAACATTCAGGAATATCGTATTTCCAATTTTTGAACACTTCTGCATTACTTCAAATAAATTTGACAAGATAGAAATAATTGAGGGAGTTTTATGAGTTAACGAATACAAAACAAATATATCACATATTTAAAACTTGTCTGACAGTGGTCAACAATGGAATCAAGGATGTGAGATTCATCCAGTCAGTTGGATTTACCTGCATTGTCATTGAGACTCGAACCCAACATCTATTGATTTTTATACACCAAAACATTATCCACTAGGCTAGTATGCCGCAAAGCTGATGAGTCCGTAATAGGGCGAAACACTCATCCTCGATCCCACTGCTAACCCCCACCAACCAAATGATATCCGATTTATCTCAAGGAACCGTATAAGCTTCTTCTTTTTTGATAATGAAAACACAATAAACAGATATAATAATCATAATGATTTACTTCATTCCAAAAACAGCACTTGTCATACAGAATGGAATTTTCAGCATTTTACTACAGTATTGCATCTAATTTCCTCAAATTATGAATAAGATTTATCACACAGAAAATTTTCCACATTCACAATAGGGATAATGTCAAAAACATGCAGCATATAAAATGGAAACAATAATAATGTTGACAGCTTAGGTAATAATAATAATAAAAGTGAAAATTGCCGTGGGCTTGTTTCACACAGTATTGTCAATGTGGTATAGATATCCTAACATGTTTAAAAATATTGAATAAAAAGGTTCTCTTTACATGATGATGATGATGATGAGGGGAAAAACAAAGATTACAGCAGTCATAGAGATAAGTTGGTGTTTGCAATTATGAGAGTAAAACAAAGAAGCAACAGGACCATAAATATAATAGAAATAATAAAAGTAAAACTTAAAGGTATATAAGGATGGATGGAGGAAATTATTTATTTACTAGATGAAAAAAGGTTAGTTAGTTCTTGCCTGACACTATTTTCATCACATAAAATACGTGCCGAGTATGGCATTATAGAATTTTTATACTTAGATGTGTGAGTATACAGTTTTCTGAAGTTACTTCTTGTTCTACCTGGGGAGACGCAAGGTGAAAGCTGAGGGTAAAGTGGATGCTCCAAGTCAAACAAAATCCCTTTAGCAAATTTATTGCATGAAGTCAAATGCCTATCGACAACGACGTTAACTATGTGGTCCTCTGGGACACCACTCACCCTACTGACAGTCTTCAGTATTCTACGAATTGTGACATAGTCCTTTTTAAGCAAACCAGGAAAGAATAAGGGTGAGCAATAAAGAAGAATAGGTAGGATGCAAGAGTTTATGAACTGTAAGAGGAGGGGTTGAGTTATACCCGAGTGCCTTAACTTCTTAATGTAATGTTAATGTCAGGCGGAATATTTTACTGGAGATCGTTAAGAAATGGGAAGTCCAGGAGAGATCAGAAGAGAGAATAAGTCCAAGATACTTAATTTCTGATTTGATTCCTATATCATTGTTGTCAATTTTACAACTGTCATGAGAATCGATGACTTCCTCTGATTGCCTTTTATATCTTAAGCTGAAATTAACAGTCTGACACTTAGAAGGATTCAGTTTAAGACCGTTAGACTCAAAACATTTACCGACTCCAGACAGAAAGCTATCATTTGTTTTGGTACAATCTAGCTGGGAGTTAACAGCCATTGAAACTGTTAAACCATCAGCCTACTTCACAAATTTTATTTCATCAGACAGAGGCAAGTCATGTAAGAAGAAAGAAAAAAGAAAAGGAGAAAGGACAGCGCCTTGAGGGACACCAGCTTCAGTAGGCAATGAAGTGGAAGACTTCCCTTTATACACGGTGTACTGCTTTCTATCTGAGAAATAGGAATGTAACCAGTTAACAGCCCAACATTCTGTTTGACTTGCAGCAAGTTTATCTAATAAGATGTCTCTAGGGACCGAGTCAGAAGCAAATGTATAGTCTAAGAAGGCACAACGAACAAATTTAACCCCATTGTCTAGACTGGAAGTAATGTTATGATATAAGACGGAAGCTGCATCTAAAGTGCTTCTACTGTGCTTATGGGAAAAATTGTTTAGGGTCATTAAACTGATATTGAGTAGCTTGGAGACATTTACATCAGTCATTAGCGTTTACTAGTTAGATTAGAGTGATTTAAACACCGAACAGTGAGTTTGCTCTTCCTAGGCCAAGCTGATCAGTAGTGCATGTGAAAGGACTCAATTCAAAGCTGATTGCCATTATTGATGTCAGGCAGACCACATTCTGTTTACTAGATAGTTTTAGTTTCCAAAGGAAACCATGGTATTTATACATCCATATTTTTTACCTTGAACTATGTAGTTTGAAAAATTGACACATAGATACTTCATTAAATTACACTTTGCACAGATATTTCAATGGGTGCAGTGATGTTCCATCGAATTAACTTGTACAGAATACATATGAAACTTTAACATGTTATTCTTTCTTTCTTTCCTGCTTCTACCCATATGATAGACTGTCGTGTAAGTATTGAACTATCTCGTCTACCAATTCTATGGATGAAACCAGAGAATCGTAATTCAGAAAGTGTACGTAAACACCTAATGGCTAGTCTGCATATTGGTATACCGAAAAGACGTCTTGAAGCATATTTTTCCAGAATATCAACTATATATGCCTATCATGAAGCAGATATTGGACATGGGGAACAATTTGGTAAGTTTAATTTAGTCTTTTTTTGCGCAGTTTTTATTCAGTCTTTGTCTGATTTGAAGAGAGATGTCATCTGAAACCGAATTTAGCTATATAATCAGCTAAAAACTAAGGAGTACTAGGCAGCTGCTTCTTACTAGTCTAAGACTCCTCACAAGTCTTCAACCGTGGCTATAACATGGATGGGGTTCAAAACCTTCCGTTTATGTGGTTAGCATGGTACTACAACGCTATTCAGTCTCAATCCGCTGGCTCATGTATTCTGACTTCGGCCAATTCGTAGTGGGAACAGCGTCACCGTTAACCGGTGTTATCAGCTATTTTCGACCTCCGCTCTCGTGGGTCCGAAAATAGGACTAAGTAGCTGTTTAGTGCCCCAAACTTATTAATCCCTTTTTGCCGCAGATGTTGAATTTTGATAAAACCTACATTTCTAATAAAATATGTCATAATTTCGTGCATTCATGAAAGGTAAAATGTTCTGTGAAAGGAATTAATTTAAAAAAATGTTCATATCAGTCGCTTAAAAGTCAATTCATAAAAACAATAGATTAGGTGTTAAAAAACAAACTATATCTACTGCATTGTGGACATCCGAATTACATAGTAAGCTCTCTTATGCAGTTATTGTGATCCAAATTTTGGGATAACAGACTACTGAAGATAACTGCTGCAACTAATCGATATTACAGTGGAATGAGTAATATAAAATTAGATAACAGACTGTAATGTGGTCATCAGTATTCTTGAGGGTAACCTTGAATTTAAGGATGTATTTTAAAATGAAGCGTAGCCTGCTTTTGAAGTTTATCAAAGATGGCTTTATTTGTTTAACAAACTAGACAAATAATAGAATCGTGGTCACAACAGCCAGTAAAGTATTTACTTCACTGCCGATCGCAGTACTTCATTAGACCTTTACAATGTATCTTTACCAAAAGTTAGAAGGCCTGTGGTGAGTTGTTAATCGATGGTCCTTTCCTCTCGTAAGATTTAGATATGATAGAGAAGTTTTGTAGCTCAGGTGGACGATTTTGATATGGTTGTGTTCTCTAAGATGGATAGTTAATTTGCGAAGCTTTCATCGCCCTATTAGGCGACATCTTCAGCGCATACTTCAATTCGAATTGAAGTGAACTTTTAGATTTCTCCACGAGTTTAATAATCATCTCTCCTGATGTTCTTGAACGTGATTGGTTGTTTTTGTGTCTTTTCACACCTTCTAGGTTACTTGTATTGGAACTGATTGTTTCTTTGACTTGAACTTTGACCCTTTGTGTGTGAGATATCTCAGAAATCACTGCAGGACTCTTCAAACCTTTAAGATTTGACGTTGCACACAAACCAGCAAAATCACTTCACTTAGTTCCATGTCAACCAAAAGAAGATAAAACCAATATCATCTACAAAACAAATTGTAACAACTGCGAAAATCACTACATTGGCTAAAGTGGACGTATCCACGAACCTAAGCTAGCCGTCAAAAGAAGTGGCATCCACTCCCTCACATCATCACATACAGACAACCACGAACATCAATTCGACTGGGACAACGTTCAAATATTAGACAGAGGGAACACTAAGAATGCTATAGAATTTTTAGAAGGCTGCCTGGTATTCCAGTGAATCGTCAATCAATAGACAAATCGAGATAGAGAAAATTTACCAACCGATAAGAAGGGAATCTCATATACAATAGGTCAAAGTTCAAGTCAAGGAGACAATCGGTTCCAGTACAAGTAGCCAAGAGGGTGTGAAAAGACACAAAAACAACCAATCACGTTCAATGTCACCCACCAGGATAGATGACTAATAGTGAACTTGTGGAGAAATCTGAACGTTCACTTCAATTCGAATTGAAATATGCGCTGAAGATGTCGTCTAATTGGGCGATGAAAGCTTCGCAAATTAACTATCCATCTCAGAGAACACAATCATATACAAAAAAATGGCCCTTCCCTGGTGTTGGGGTACATCTGGTCGGGAATGAGGATAAATACTTCCCGATCGTATTGGCTAGTGGTCGCGCTAAAATCACAAATTAGTAGAAGTTATAATTCATGGGCTATTGTCTGAGCAGTCTACGAGTTTGAATTGTGACCGAAAGGTTCAGGGTTTTGGCCTCAATGGGTGCGTATTGTCTATGAATCCCGAAATAGGAATAAACAACTATCCAGTACCCCCTAATTTTCAACCTTTCTCTAAGTGATATCAATCCATGGTGAAACTAGAAATTATGAATCAGTCCATTCATCCAATGAACACTCAACAACTAAGAAACGGTTTCGAAATTTCCACAGAAAGTTTTGTATGTCCATCTCCTTGATAGCTGGAGGCCAAGGGGCCTTCATCTGGTCAAAGGAAGTGACACCAAATGTAACGCCAATACACAATAGTATTTAGTGGGAGAATTATTAATCTATCTAAGTGACCTAAATTTATGGTGAAAGTGATTTATGCTTAGCTTCTTTTATCTTCATTTGATGCTTTTTGTATTGTTTCACAAGGATTTTTCATTTTTCATTTCTACACCTTAATCCATCGTTTCACTATTCAAGATTCCTATAGAAGACATCAGACACACAATACGCTATATACGAATTCTTGTCAGCAGTACACACATACACCAAAGATGCCACTTTAAATTCCACATGTTCAAAAATCACTTCAGTTCTAGAGTAAAAATGTTTGAAAAGTCTTTGACGATCTAAAACAGACATGTGAAAACTGTTTTATCATGTTTTGGCTCTAGTAGCTTTGACTTACTAAATACAACAGAATCACGAAATGACGGAAGTTAGAATTAATGGGCCGGCCACAGGATTCCATCCCAGTGGTTGGATCGTCAACGACTCGACTTCCAACCTGAAAGTTCGGGGTTGAGTTCTAAGCGAGGTAATGCGTGTGTACTGCTGATGAGTTCAAAACTAGATTGCAGCAGCTGTCCAGTATTCTCTGTTTTTCACTAGTTCGTTGACTGAAATCAGTCGGTGATCGAAACTGCGGAGGATCCCACAAGTAATGTTATTATATAGATGCATGAATAAATATTTGTAAGTCAATAGTCTCATTCGTCAGGTCTCTTTTAACCCAAATAGTTTATAACAATAGCTTTGTTCTATGATATTAGGTAGTTGGAGGCAACCGGACACAGGAAGCCTGGCTTGACCTAGGTTTCGTGCTAGTTGACACTCACCAGTTAGCAAGGCGTATCTCCAACCTTGAAGGAACTCATGTCCCTTCTGAGATTCAAACCCACGCCACCCAGTGCTTCAGTCAGAGACGTTACCACTGAGCTATTCGGGCTCGCGACTGATGTCATGTAGGGCTGCAGTGGGTACTTTGATCGGACACTAGTGACTAGTGCAATGTGTCTAGACCTTGCTGTTTGGTGCAGACTGAATTCAATCAGTCAGGTTTGCAATGTGGCCATCATTCCAATTAATACATTCTATTCAGTTATGAGGAGAGTTACTTACCTATGATGCTGAGTGGTAGTCACGTAAAATTATGAACTGGAAGAAATTAGGAAGTAGAAATCTTTGAATTCCTAATCAGTAGATGAATGGTTGTGTGAACGTCTTGAAAATCTTTGGATTCACGACCACACCATATAGTAGATGGCCATTTCAAAATCTTATTAGAGATAAATAGTGAAAACTAAGTTTCCGACCTGAAGTCAATCTAATAACTAGCACAAGAAATCGGTGAACAAAGAACTTTGTTCAATGTTCAATACGTTACAGAAATCCATTGAAATTTAAGCATCCATTTGAAACAAGAAATGTCATACCTAAATGATGAAGTAATGTAATGCATCATGTTTCAACATTCAATCTATACAACAAAAAAAAGAAACATGTAACATGATTACTTAAAAATCTCTGTCAGGTACTTTGCGTTATAATGATCCCTTTTTTGTGCCTAGTGTATATTATTGACTCTCTTGTTTTTTCCACCATGTAACTGTGAAAGAAAAACACAAAATAGAATAATAAAAATGCAGGAATTACTTACAAAATATTGGGAGAAAACAGATAAAGGAAAGAATTAACTGTAATTATAGTTATGTTATTCTAACTTTTGGACAATGTTCAGCTATACAAAAAGTATACTTGTTTCTTTGTTTGAAAATGGTAGCAATCAGTCACTTGTTCAATGTTTGTAGTGGGAATTTTAAACTAGATGGACAGATGTAAATATGCATATAATAATAATTTGTATATAATGACAGAATAAGATAATAAACACTAGAATTTTACAGTGGGAAAGATAGTCAAAACATGTTTAGTTGACTAATATATATATATATATATAGTGCTGAATAAGTTGGGAAAGATTTACCGTTCATTCCGATGGTTTCACCAAAACAAACAACAACAAGAATTCGTTTTAGCAATAAATCAATGATGATATGAGAAAGTGGAAAATCATTCAAAAGTGTAGTGTAACTTCTTTTTTCCTCTCATTAGAGTGTTATGATTACCCTAGTTGGTTGATACTGAACTGCTTAAGGAAAATGAAATAAGATAGGCAATTTACTATCTCATATTGTTCATTCGTTGCGTTGCAAATATAACGTTAGGCTTCAGTGGTACGTCTCTATTGCACTCCGTTCTCCACAATCACTTTCAGCTGGTTCTTCGATTTCCCACAAGCGTTCATTTCTTCCTCACATAACCTTTTCTGTGTTACTCTCAGACTCTGTGACCATGACTTCCCTTTCGAGTTCCACTTAATGGCCTGCATGGCGTGTGATGTTACCTCAACATCTCATCGATGTTCGTCCACTACACATCCTTTTACTTCAGCATTCTTCTTGAGACACTAGGTTGCTAACGGTTTTGCCACACTGCCGGAATTCTTCATTGGTTATCTTTTGTGGCTGGTTATCTGACATTGGGGATGCCAACGAGGATGATGGAAGGTGTTGATGAAAGTTTGGACAGGCTGCTCAGAATTGTTTCTGAAGACAAATGATGAATCCTAAGTATGCTAGAGTG